TAGACCGGCCCTCTTCACCCCTCATCTGGACCACTGCCATAGCACCACTGGTATCCAGCCCCTCCTGTGACTCAGCCTCCACTCCACTGTGACAAACAGAAACTGATTCCTAAAGCACAGGTCACTCCCCAGCTCAAAGCTGCTGATAGCGCCCACCCCCACAGCTCACAGCAATGTTTAATGCAGAGTGCAGCTGCTCTTGGTTCTCTTGAGCCCTAGAGCCAGGGGATTTCATGAGGCTGTAAAGAGACCACCTCATCAGAATCACCTGGAGTGGTGATTCTGTGGTGGACTTGCTAAGAGCCCAGCTTCCTGAAATCCTGGGTCAGAAATTCTGGGAGTGGGCTCTAAAATTGGAGGAAAGTAAAAAATTCCAGATGAGCTGGGAGTGGTGGCATGCACCTATAGTCGCAGCACTTGGGAGGCTGAGGAGGGAGGATCACTGAGCCTGGGAGTTCAAGATCAGCTTGGGAAACATAGTGAGACCCTGTCTCAAAAAAAAAAAAAAAAAAAGAAAAAGAAAAGAAAAAAAATCCCAGAAAAACTTGGTATACCCTGAAGTTAGAAAACTGTTTTTGCTAGAGTTTCCAGCTGTTTGGGAAAATCTGTCCTACTTCCAAAACCTAGGGACATACCCTGCCCACCTTAGGACTAGGAACGCTAACAGTCCTACTGCTGAGGCTAATCCTAAGTGCCACAGCTACAAAAGCTAAACAATCAGGGTTCCTGGAGCAGCCCATTCTGACCCTTCCACTGAGTGACTAAAGGGAAGTCACTTTATACCCACAGGCTTCAGTTTCCCATATATATACAGTGTATAGATATGTGCTTTCTAGGGTCCCACTCAATTCCAAAATAAGGCACATGACCTTTATGTTGCATCACATATGTTCTGTTCGACCAGAGGTTCCGGTCCTAGCATTCTAAGAATCTGTGTGTGGTGGGGGGTTGGGGTGGGGGGGGGTGGTTCTTTTCTCATCCAAAATGAAATTTTTAATAAGCATCTTTCATACCATATCCAACTGCCAATTTCCAATAAGAAGAGCCAAGCCATGGCTAGTCTGCCTGGCACAGCTTTATTTATTTATTTTTTCCCTAATGTTCATTACTAGAATTTTTTTTCATATCCTTTCCATAGTCCAAAGAGGAGGAATGAGAGTTATATAAAATTACAATTTCCTAGCAACCTTCAGCATCTTGCTGTTTATTGAGGCTAATTATGTCTTTTCCATATTTGATGCTCCCATTTTAAAGACTGGGAAATCGATGCTCAGAGAATTGAAGTTACCCAAGGCAGCAGAGCCAGGCTGTAAGACAGCACTGGAATTCTCCGTGTTAGCACTGGATCCCAGGGAGTCAATGCCAAGTTTCAGATACAATGAGAACAACTGGGCGAAAAGCTGCACTGGTCAACCAGCTGTCCCCTCCAAGGCACGGCAGGAGTGCTAACCAGCCAGCCACACATCCTAACAGCTCTCGCCACAGAGCTGCTGGAAGAACGCACACACGCACTGAACGGAGGCGGGGCTGAGCAGCAGCCACCCAAGCAAAAGTGATGCCAAGGATTTAGTCAACAGAGAGCTAATACGAGTCAACAGTGGGTGCTGCTGCCAAGCACACCAATGGGATCTTCAGCTGCATTCACAGGGGAAGAGTGTCTACTCCCTCCACCTGCCCTGCTCAGACACGACCACACCTGTGGGCTGGGCAGGCTGGGCTATCTAAAGGGAGGTGCCTTCCAAGGCAGGGCCAGGTTTTCTGAAGGGAGTGGCTATGGGTGGCACTCTGATTGGTAGGGTGAGCCAAGGACTCACCTGGGAGCTAGGTTTGCACAGGAAGCCCACCACTTGTTATAAATGGGATTCTTAACACCTGTCTGTTCACATTTTATCACTGACCATCCTCAGCAAAGGTTACGAACACCCAGGAGTGCTAGAGGACCCTCAGCCTACCACCAGAAGAAGGGGCTCCAAGCCCTGTCCAAGAAGACTGACTCATCCAAGAAGACGATTATGGTGGCTTCTTCCTTTATCACATATGACAAGACAGAACTAATACGAGTCAACAGTGGGTGCCGTGGCCAAGCATACTAGTAGGATCTTTAGCTGCATTCACAGAGGAAGAGTAGCTTTGCCAAGGGACACTGAATTTGAACTCTGATCCTTTCAAGTGTCAAAACTCCCCAAAATCCTAATTCCCCCATCCCATTCACCCCAGCAACCAACCCATCTGGGTGTGCCTGTCACATCACTTAGCATGGCTCAGAATAAAAACACCATGTGTCCACCTGTCCCCCAAGAGTCTCCAGGCCATGACTCTCATGTGTCCTCAGCACAGAGCTTGGCACTTTAAAGACATTCAATAAATGACTGAACTGAGCTGAGGTGCCGCAGCACGGTCACACTGAGGGTGTTATTGTGTTCAAGGCAATTTCAGAACACAAGTGTCCTGACTAGGGCTAATAAAACGGTTTATGACAATGCATTACCACTTGGGATCTTCATATGTTGAGCAGAGAAATTCTTGAGGCCAACGCCACCAGACAGTTTTAATTACAAAGGAGTCACAGTTAGCCAGGCCAGGTCCCTGGGTATCTATGGAAATGATAGGGGCAGAGAATGAAGCTTAGGGGTAGAGAGGTCAAAGGTACATCCTATCTGCGTGACAGCAGCCAACCAATGCCAGAGCTCAGGAAGCAGCCGAAATCCAGAAACAGAAGACAGAAATAATGACAAAGAGGACCACATGCCTTAAAAAAAAAAAAAGTCATAAAAAGGGAGCCTACTGAAGTGGATCTGATGTACAACACAAATTCTACCAATTCATCGGGGAGTGGGCCGCCTGGCGCAAAACATCGTAACTGCGAGAATTAATTACAGGAACTAACACTGTGAATTGGGAAGATTAGTAGGGGAGTCTGTGTGATGCAGTTCTAATATTTAATAAATCATTAAATCGATGAGCCATGCTCACGAATGAATTTTTCTTCATCTTTCCTCCCTGGGAGCTCACGTGACAAAAGCCAGCATTTGCTTTTTATTTGCCTTTGGACAAAGTGCCCAGATATATATGCGTATAAATAAATTGGGGTTCATGAAATCATCTGAAAGGCACCAAGAAGACTGACATAATATGGAAAGCTGAGATGGGTGAATTCTTCTTGTATAAAGGCAAGAAACCTTTTAGGATGCAAATGTCCCCTTCCCCCACACTCTGCAAGAGCTCCACCGGCTGTCACAAATAAGTATTCCCATCCCTACCTGTTCCTCTGTGTACCTGTTTGGCTCTATCTACCACACATGTACTTTACTCCGTTTGCATTTTTCATCTCAGAATCACCACTTAAGCTTGTCGCACAAACCTGACAGCAGCAATACATTTTATAAATGAATTATCCCTGGGGAACAGACAAGCAAACCACCAGTAAGGAGCACTGTCAAAGTTCCCAAGGAGAGCATTCTGTTCCCAGATGCAAACTACGCCACATCCTCTCCAATCCCAAACTGCCCACTCCAGAGGTAGCCTGCTCACCTCTCTCTCTCCTCCCCAGCTCTCAGGCCCTCTCTCCCAGCTGAATAAAAGCAGAACTTCCTTCTTTGGGAACTATAACATTTTAATGCTGTTTACAGATAACAACTCTAAGGACAGGATGTTGGTTCCTTTTCCATGAATAAAAAGGCCCCAAAAGGGTATTTTCATAACAAAATTATATCCTATGGAGAGCACAAGATGCCACAAAAATAAAACTGCCATAAACCGGAACTGTCTCAAACCTACACAGGGAAGGATTAAACCCCAAGCCAGGCAGCTCGGATTTTCCTATCCGATACCCTTAACACGCTCCTAGTTCTCTCGTGAAATCCAAAGAATTCCTGCCACCCGGAAAGGCCTAAATGCTTTCGTGCAAGTCCCGGTATGTTATTCCTTCCCTTGAAACCCTCGGGACGATCTGTAGCATTCATCTAAAGCTCAATTACTGCTGTGTCCTCAGTCACACCCAAAGATTCCCCAAGGCACCGTCTGCCGCAGCGCCTGGTGCACAGTAGGCGCCCCGTTAATGTGTGGGTTTGATTGGATCTGAGCTGGCCCCTTCGTCAGAAACACGCTGGTGGCTGGACGCCCTGCTGGGGACAGCAGCGCCAGCCTAGCTCGCCGCCGCAACGGGGCGGGGGTGCAACCACCTGTGGGCGGCTGGCCGGGACGCAGGCCCAGCGCCACAGCCCCGGGGTGCCCGGCGGGCCCCACGCACACTGCTGAGAGCTGGGGTTAGTCGGGAACGCCAGGCCCGTGGGGCCCGGGATCGACACCCTGGGCCCCATCAAGGTCTCTGCCAGAGCAAAGTTGACCATGTCCCAGAGTTAGTTCCCAAGTCGCTCCACCCGCTGCGAAGCTGAGAGCAAGAGGAGCTCTTTGGGCTGGAGTCAGGGGCCACCCTGAGAAATCAACAGAGAAGAGAAACTATTCTCTAACCCACTCCCAAACTTGGGGTACCTGCTGGGCAACAGGAGAGGACTTTCCTCTCCACGGTCTCGCCAAGGCCTGATGGAAGGCTTGGGAGGGGGATATAGCGCGACACCCGGGAACAACCCTGCACTACTTTGAAATTTTCTATCCATTAATCCAGCATCAGGAAGGCCCCCACTGGAACCGGGGGTGGGGGGCGCTGGAAAGGCAACACTTGCAGGGAACACAGGCCATCCTCGCCAAGGGCAGGGACTTGGAAAGGGGGTGAGGCCCATAGGACCAGGTGGGCACCAGAGAAGGCGCAACCCCATAGCACAACGTGCCAAGAAGGGGGCACGGGCCAAAGAAGGGGCCGGAAAGAGACCGGGACCGACCGGTGGCCCAAGAGGGAACGGGGCTACCGAGGGCTGTCAGAGGAGATGGGGGAGGGGATCCCAGAGAGGTGCAAGAGGACAGACCCAGAGATAAGCACTGGGGCAGGGGGAGCTGCCTTAAGGGTGCATGATGCCGGTGCCCCGACCGGCTCCGTCACTCACCGGCAGATCCACGCTCACTTCGGTCCCGTCGAGCAGGAAGACACGGCAGTACAGGGTGGCCTTAGCCGTTCCGGCGGCGGAGATGTGCACCGCCGCGCCGCCCGTGAGCAGGGGCCCGCCGCCGGCCGGGAACACGCTGCCCCCGGGCGCGGCGGGCAGCGCCGAGGAGGCGGCGGCGGAGGCCGGACCCCCCCGTGGCCCCCCGTCGCGCTCGTCCCCCAGCCCGGCGGCCCCGCGCCCTGCCGCGCCCCGCGCGTAGCGCTGCATGGAGCGGCGGCCAAAGGTCCGGCGCAGGAACCGCAGCATCCTGGCTGGGGGCGCCCCCTGCCTCCGCCCCCTGCGCTGCTGCCGCTGCGCCGCCGCCTGGGAGCGCCCCGCGACGCCGTCAGTGCCCGCCGCCGCCCGCGCCGCCGCCCGCGGGCTGCGGCCCGGGGCTCGCTCCCGCCGAGGCCGAAGCCG